TAGTTTTTTTTGATAATAGCAGGTCCAAATATTCCCGATTTTCGCCATTTTGTTTTATTCGCTTAACAACAAGTTTATATATCAAGCAGTGAAAGAATTATGTAAAAATCATGACTGAGTCCAAAGTTATAGGCATTTTAATTTAAAAAATTAAAAAAAGGCGATTTTTTGTCATTTTTTTGGGAAAAAAGTATCTTTTTCTTTTTAAGTTATCTAAAAAGTTTCTAAGAAGATGTATATAGAATTTATACTTTTTGGAAAGCTGACTTTACATAAAGTACGATAAATGAAACAAAACCTAAAAATTTTTGATACCGAGGGGACCAGGTCCATCCAAAAAAACCCTATTTTTTATGGAAAATTAAATTTTGAGCAAAAATTCTCAAATCGCATAGTCGATATCAAATTATAGTGACCTGTTTTATATGACCCAATATGTTCTTAATCATTTTGTAACGGGTTTCGATAACCCCGCCCCTGGTATGGATATAATAGGCAAAAAACTAAAAAATCCCATTTTTGGGATTTTTTAAAACTTTTTTGGGAATTCCGGGATTTCTAATAAGAAAATTCGAAATTTTGATTTAATTTTGGATTTTAAGTAAAAAAATCTACCTAACTGTAAAATTTCATCAAAAAATATTCATAAATAAAATTTTTATTGCAATTTGAAAAATTTGTATCTTCGCAAAAACTGAATAAAAAACATTTTTTAAATTTTTTTTAAAAAAAGTATTCCGCGAATTTTTTAATTTTCAAAAATTATATACAGTTTTGAAAAATAGACAAAATTACCTTTCCATTGATATATAACATGCCTACCTAATGTTTTTTAAGTGACAAATTAATTAGGGAAAACTCAACATCTTTTAGAAAATTTGCCTAGCACTATTATTTTCATCCATAAGGTTAACTCTTAAATTTGTTACATATATGGATGAAAATAATAGTGCTAGGTAAATTTTCTAAAAGATGTTGAGTTTTCCCTAATTAATTTGTCACTTAAAAAACATTAGGTAGGCATGTTATATATCAATGGAAAGGTAATTTTGTCTATTTTTCAAAACTGTATATAATTTTTGAAAATTAAAAAATTCGCGGAATACTTTTTTTAAAAAAAATTAAAAAATGTTTTTTATTCAGTTTTTGCGAAGATACGAATTTTTCAAATTGCAATAAAAATTTTATTTATCAATATTTTTTGATGAAATTTTACAGTTAGGTAGATTTTTTTACTCAAAATCCAAAATTAAATAAAAATTTCGAATTTTCTTATTAGAAATCCCGGAATTCCCAAAAAAGTTTTAAAAAATCCCAAAAATGGGATTTTTTGGTTTTTTGCCTATTATATCCATACCAGGGGCGGGGTTATCGAAACCCGTTACAAAATGATTAAGAACTTATTGGGTCATATAAAACAGGTCACTATAATTTGATATCGACTATGCGATTTGAGAATTTTTGCTCAAAATTTAATTTTCCATAAAAAATAGGGTTTTTTTGGATGGACCTGGTCCCCTCGGTATCAAAAATTTTTAGGTTTTGTTTCATTTATCGTATTTTATGTAAAGTCAGCTTTCCAAAAAGTATAAATTCTATATACATCTTCTTAGAAACTTTTTAGATAACTTAAAAAGAAAAAGATACTTTTTTCCCAAAAAAATGACAAAAAATCGCCTTTTTTTAATTTTTTAAATTAAAATGCCTATAACTTTGGACTCAGTCATGATTTTTACATAATTCTTTCACTGCTTGGTATATAAACTTGTTGTTAAGCAAATAAAAAAAAAAAGCGAAAATCGGAAATATTTGGACCTGCTATTATCAAAAAAACTAAAGTAAGGACGGTAAAAATTTTAAAATTTTAATATTCAAATGCGAATATCTCCTAAACTATAAGAGATAATTTACTGCTACGACGACATTTTTTATAGTGCTCGATGAGGAGATTCTATATACGAAATTTTTTTTAAATCGGAACTCAAATGAAGAAATAGGATCGTTTTAAAAATTTAACATAGCCGAGGTGTCCTAATTTGAGGACCCCCCGCCGGGCCCCTGGTTGGCCTATAAGGTCCAAATTCAAAACCTAAACTCGACAACACCTCCTCTTTGTGCATACCAAATTTCATTAAAATCGGATTAACCGTTTAGAAGTTACCGAATTATTTCCCTCTTTTTTTTTTCCTATACCACTGTGCAACGTGCTAAAGACTTTTAGCTATTAAAGTGAATTTTAACCCCTATAGACTAGAATATGGACTAGACAATAGACTAGACTAGACTAGACTACAGACTAGACTATAAACTAGATTAGACAATAGACTAGACTATGGACTAGACTATAGATTAGACAATAGACTAGACTATAGATTAGACTATAGACTAGACAATAGACTAGACTATAGACTAGACTACAGACTAGACTATAGACTAGACTATAGACTAGACTATAAACTAGACTATATACTAGACTATAGATTAGACTATAGACTAGACCAACGTTTCCCAAATGGGAGTCCGCGGACCCCTAGTGGTCCGTAGTAAAATCCTAGGGGGTCCGCGAAGACGAACGAAAAAAACCATGAATAAACAATATTCTGCTTTTATATGTATGTACAAATATCTCCAATTTTTGTGCAATAATCCCAAATTTTTTGGTGACTTTTTGAATTTTATTTTTTCGGTTGTTTATCAGGAAGAAGCAAGGCCCTACAAATTTATTGTATAACTTTTATAAAGTAAAGTACTGCGTGATTTGTAATTTTTATTTCCTGTATATGTAGTATATGTACTGAAATAATAGTTTTTATTTCAGACAAATAATACTCTGCCTTACAATTAAATTAGGGATACAGATATTCCGGAGTATGAAGTTCAATTCAAAGACAGGCTTATTACAGATTTAAGTTTATCAAATTGTAAGCAAAATTATATATTTCCAAAACAGAGGTGGCTCTTTATGCATCTCTTTATAAATATTCCAATCCGATGTGATACACAGATTTTAACTTGATTTTGCCGACCAATACATATTATTAAATTAACATCAGAAAATCCATAGCGTTTCGCGTAAAATGTAGCCAAAAACCATGAAGTAAAATAATTCGTTGGTATTTTAAAATTCAAATGTAAATTCCAAATTCACAGTACTTTAACAAAGAGTTCAAATCATATATTATGCGGATAACGCATTCCGCAACAACATAGAAGAAGTCCAACTTTCTTATATTATTTTCCCGAAAACTTAGCTCACTTACTCAGTTCACCCTTTGCAATCGCAACAAATTTTTGAAACGTGACTCCTTAAGCACATGTGACAATATTTGATAAAGAAACCTTTTCGCTACCTTGAAGAAAAATGAACATGAAAGATCTCACGATCATAAAATTAAACATCATGTTAACATATCAACAAAGAAGTCATTCTATCTTCAAAACATGCAATTGAAAACCTATCTGAAATATTATATATTCTCAATGTACGGGAATATTTAATAGATATGACATGTCTACATTTATTAGACCTAGGGATTAATGAACTAGGTCAATTTTCGGATGGACAATTATTTAGAACAATAAGATATCAAAATATGTATGGGGGTCCGCGAAATTAAATAAGTTCTTCAAGGGGTCCGCGAAGTAAAAATCTGTGGGAACCGCTGGACTAGACTATAGACTAGACTATAGAGTAGATTATAAACTAGATTACACTATAGACTAGACTATAGATTAGACTAGACTAAAGAATAGAATATAAAGTAGACCAGATTTTATACTAGACTATAGATTTGAATATAGACTAGACTACAGTCTAGACTATAGATTACACTATAGACTATAGATTACACTATAGACTAGACTATAGTCTAGACTATGGATTAGACTATAGACTAGACTATAGTCTAGACTATAGATTACACTATAGACTCGACTATAGATTACACTATAGACTCGACTATAGATTATACTATAGACTAGACTATGTGGCCTCCGGTATATTATAAACTGGGCTATAGACTAGACTGTGACAACGATTATCCAATTTATATATTTACTAGGGTATTCAAACGATTAATCGTCGATCGGTTAATCGATGAATTTTTGTCGATTAATCGTTCGAATAAATTAAAAATGCCAAATTGCGAATAACGAATAAACCGATTAATGGCTTTTGAGCTCATTATTATGCATAATATAGATGTATCTCGATGAAAGTTCGCACAACTAAGTTTTATACAAGCCTTTATTAATTACCTTGCCGAATTTCGAAATGATCGGACTTCATTTGACCCTAGCCCCCATACAAAGCCCCCTTCAGAAAGGTAATATCCAGAGGATTTTACAGGAGAATAAATAATTTCTAATATTTGAAAAATAATAATTAAAAAAATTACATAGAATTGAACACAAAATAATTGAAAAATTATCATTTTCTTGATTGTAAGAAAAAAAAAATATTGTAAAAACAATAAAATTACTAACCATTTTACTTTTATTCGATTAACAGAATAATTTTGAATTATCCGATTATTAACCGGCTAACATAAAACCTCAAATAATTATTTGTCGAATAAACCGAATAATCCAAAAACCCGAATAATTAAATACCCTAATATTTAGTACATATTTTGTAATAATTTAGAAATGCAAAATCTCTTTGATATCAGTATTATCTTCGGATTAAAATCAATCAATTGCTTTATTTAAAATTAATACTCTTCAGCACTGCCAAATCTAAAAATAAACTCTTTTCTTTATATAGGAATGGTTTTTTATTAATATTTATTTTTATTCACTTTAAATTTTTGGTATATCCTGAATAAACGCATTACAGTTTTTTTTATTTTTAAATTCTATTTTATAAAATATAAATTATAAGATTATACAAATTATTAAAAAATCTACAAACGAATTTTTTTTTTGCTAATATGCAACCATTTCAAACAAAATTTATAAAAATGTATTTTTCATTTCTTATTTTCTCTTAATATTTTTTCTCAAAAAGGCCGATCATCGTTAATGCTTGACTTAAAACATATAACAATTGAATAGGAGAAGTAGGCATATGTATATCCAAGGAGCTGGTAGTGTGGTGTTGTTAGTTTAGTTGGTGTTTTATAGCAGCATTGTTTGTTGTATGTAAAAGTCTAGAGGTGTCATAAAGAATATAACGCACTTAATTAAAACTTAAGACGATTGATCGTATTTTTCACTTTTTTTGTTTTCGTTTTTCTATTCAAAATGCATATATGCAAGTCAATCTTAATGCAATAAGGTATAATAGGTGATGTGTGCTAAACAAAAATGTTACGAACAATTAAATTGTTTAACATTTTGAAGGCATAACCTTCAAACGTTCAAAGGCAGCCTTTTCCAAAGCTTCACGATGTTTGGGTTCAGCAATTTGTATAAGTTCATAAGCACGTTGACGCATATTCTTGCCAAACAATGAGGCAATACCATGTTCAGTGACCACATAGTGGACATGGGCACGGGAGGTAACAACACCAGCACCTATAGTAAACAAACAAAAAAATTTAATCATTAATAAAGTTTTAGTTAGAATCTAATTTAAAGTATTTCAACTTACCAGTCTTGAGAGTGGGTACAATTTTACTTTCACCCTTGTTGGTGACCGAGGGCATGGCAATAATTGGTACACCTTTACCATCCAAACCTTCAGCAGCACCTCTAATGAAATCAACTTGACCACCGAAACCAGAGAAGAAACGTGTACCGATAGAGTCAGAGCAAACTTGACCAGTCAAATCGACTTCAATGCAAGAGTTAATGGCAGTCATGCGGGGTTGTTGCTTAATTACACTAGTGTTATTTACATAATCGATGGCATACATTTCTAAGGGAAAATATTAAAAATTAACAGCTTTAAATACGTTTGGTTTTATTTTAAAAACCACTTACCAATGAAAGGATTATCATTGACGAAATCATACAAAGCTTGGTTACCAATCAAGAAAGAACCAACAATACGACCTTGATGCATTTTCTTCATGCGATTGGTAACAGCACCGGCCTTAACTAAATCGACAACACCGTTGGCAAACATTTCCGAGTGGATACCCAAATCCTTGTGGTTGTGTAGTTGAGACAAAACAGCATCAGGAATGCTACCAATACCCATTTGCAAAGTGGCACCATCATGTACTAAATTCTCGGCAATCAATTTACCAATTTTAGCTTCAACTTCACTGGGTCCTTTGCCACCATGTTGGGGCAGAGGAGTATCAACTTCAATCATGGCATCGAAATGAGACATGTGAATGGGAGCATCACCAAAGGTACGAGGCATTTGCTTATTCACTTGAGCTAAAGAGAGTTAAATTGAGAAACGTTAAAATAACTAGAAATATGTTTTTTTTCTTTGTGTCACATACCAACAATTTTCTTTGAATGCAAGAGAGCAGCTCTAACACAATCCACACTGGTACCCAATGAACAGTAGCCATGACGATCTGGTGGCGATACATGCACTAAGGCAACATCGGGTTGTACAATTTTACGATAGAACAATTGTGGAATTTCATGCAAGAAAATCGAAAAGTTATCACCACGTCCCTCGGCTACAGCCTTACGTACATTGCCACCCATAAAGAAGGAATTGGAACGGAAATGTTTCTCATTTTCGGGTAAAGTATAGGCGGCTGGACCTTCAGTGTGCATATGGCATACGGTAACATCTTCTAAATTGCACTTCTTACCATGTTCAACCATGGCACTAATAAGAGCATTGGGTGTGGCAGCAGCACCAGAACAGAAAACGGTGTCACCTGTTTAGAATAAAATGTAATAAAAACGTGAGTAAATTGTTTTTGTTTACGATTTATTTTATTTAGTTTACAGTGCCAATTGTCTAATTTTAGTTATCAATCAGACACTAGTTGTTTATCTAAAATTTCCCTTTTAATTTGTTTTATTTTGCCAAATTCTATAGTAATTTATTTTAAGCATTTTTTTTTTTTACTTTAAAATGTTTTAATTTTTAATCTAATGATTTTGACTAAGACTATTTTTATTTCGTTCACCTTCGTGAGAAGGTCAGTTTGTTATCCCCTTTCTAATTTCTATCATTAATGGTTGATCTTTTACATAGAATCCTATCTAACGAAGTAAGTTTTTATAGATACATTATTGTCCTATAGACTAGACTATAGGAACTGGCTATAGTCCAGACTAAATGGAAAATGTAAATATCGTTTAAATTTATAAAATAGTCTAAAAATTTCCAATAACAAATTTCGTCTAGTAGAGGACTTGAAAAAATTAGCAGATACAAAAACCTTTAACTTCACATATCACATAACTGCCCTCTAGCGGTTAGTAGTAACATAAACACTATGGCAACTTTCTTTTAATGGAATTGTCATACTGGAAAAACGACTGAGAAAACTCTACACGTTCTGCAAAAACAGCTGAGCTGATAATTCAGCTGTCATTTAATAAATTGCGCGTGTGTTCTTTGCATTAAAATTAAGCTTTTTTGCGTTTATTGCTGTAAAATTCCATATTTTGTTTAAAATAAAACATTAAAAATGACTTCTGTACTATTAAAACAAGCTAAAATGGGATTTGTAAGTATTAAATAAAAAATTATAGGAAAGTAAATAAAATGCTGAAAGAAAATCATGTTTTTTGTGCAGATGAGACCAATGGTCAGCAATATTTTGCGTTGTGCAGATAGCCGGCTTTATGCCAGTGATGCGCCACCTTCACGTACCGAAAAAAGTAAGTTTATTAACAAAATTGTGTAATAAAATAATTTGAAAATAAATTAACTTTGTGTTACACAATCAAGCTGTCAATACGGTGTCTTTGTTGGGTCGTGTAGGAGCCGATCCACAATTGCGCGGCAATACAGCACATCCGGTGGTGACATTTTCCCTAGCAACTCATACTAACTACAAGTGAGTTCTATTTAACAATATATTTAATTTACATACGAAATTGATTTAAATCGGTTTTCCTTTATAGATATGAAAACGGTGATTGGGCCCAGCGCACAGACTGGCATCGTGTTGTTGTCTTTAAGCCCAATTTACGCGATACTGTTATGGAGTATTTGAAGAAAGGCCAACGTGCTATGGTTCAGGGTAAAATCACTTATGGTGAGATAACCGATCAACAGGGTAATCAAAAACCCAGCTGCAGCATTATTGCCGAAGATGTGATTTTCTTCCGTGAATCATCTTAGACGTTTTTCGTTTTCATTATTACATTTGGTTATTGTTAAACTCGTATCTTTAAGTTTAAAAACTGTTAATACTTTTCCTTTTTGATCATTCATATTTTTATAACAATTCATTAATTTCATGCCAATTAACATTAAATTTCATTAAAAAAAAACATGTAAATTACATATTAAATATGTAATAAATAAAACACAAATACCTATTACTAATGAGAATACAAAATACAGAAGTTTATATAACATGTAAGTAAATAGTAGCCTTTAATTTGCCCTTTTGTGTATAAAAATGCAAAATAAATTGTTTGATTCGTCTTCTAAGTCTGAGTCAATTATGATGAATATTAAAGACAAATGTTTAAATTTTGAAACGTAATTAGAAACGATATCGCTTAAAGTTTTTAGGAAAAGTTTTGCTTTAAAAACTGTTTCTTTATCTTGGGACTTTCCTTTGATATTCGTTTTTAATATCTGAACTATTTTTCACTATTTTACATTCAATCTATAAATTAAGTACTTATTTACTAGATTTTTCTCTAAAAATCTTTAACCTAAAAATCCTAGTTTCTTTCCAAAAATATAAATAAGTCTTTTATGCTTATGTTTACAGCATTTAAATCTACTTGTCTACAGACTAGAGAAGAGACTAGTCTGTAGTCTAGTCGAAAGTATAGTCTAAAGACTAGAGAAAATACTATTCTGTATACTAGAGAGAGAACACACTAGTCTATAGGCTAAGGAAAAGACTAATCTATAGACTAGAGGAAAGACTAGTCTATAGAATACAGAAAATACTAGTCTGTATACTAGGGAAAAGACTGCTCTATAGACTAGAGAAGATACTAATCTACAGATTAGAGAAAATACCAGTTTATAGATTAGAGAAACAACTTATTTATAGACAACAGATTAGAGAAAAGACTAGTCTGTAGATTAGAGCAAAAACTTGTCTGTAGACTAGAGCAATGACTAGTCTACAGACTAGATCGAATATTAGTCTACAGACTAGAGTGAATACTAGTCTATAGACTAGAGCAAAGACTAGTCTAAAGACTAGAGCAAAGACTAGTCTAAAGACTAGAGCAAAGACTAGTCTATAAACTGGATAAATGCTAGTCTATAGACTAGACAAAAAACTAGTCTAGACTGATGAAAATACTAGACTTGAGATTCTATAGATTATAAAAAAGATAAGTCTATAGACTCTGGAAAATGCTAGTTTATAGACTAGAGCTATTACTAGTCTATAAACTAGAGAAGAGACTAGTCTATAGACTAGAGAAAAGATTCTATAGATTATAAAAAAGATAAGTCTATAGACCCTGGAAAATGCTAGTTTATAGACTAAAGCCATTACTAGTCTATAAACTAGTGATGAGACTAGTCTATAGACTAGAGATGAGACTAGTCTATAGACTAGAGAAAAGACTAGTCTTTAGTTTAGAAAATACACTATTTCATAGTCTAGACAATAGGCTAGTTCATAAACTAATCAATAGACTAGTCTATAGAAAAGACTAGATAATAGACCAGCCTAAAGACAAGACAGTAGACTAGCCTATAGATTATAGACTAGGCTAACAGAAAAGTTATTGGATTTGCACATAGTCTAACAAATTTAGAACTAGTAAGTACGCTTTTTTTTAGAACTAGTAAGTACACTTTCTGTAGATGTTTATTTTCTTCTAAAGTATTTTTTAAATAGTTTCCTTTTTAAGTTTAAATAAATTATTATCAATTTTAAATTAACTAAACTATGAAACAAATGATAAAGTTCTTATACTTTTAAATCTCTGAAAATGTATGAAAATTTTAAAATTTCAAAGCACGCATATTTTAAACTAGATATATCTATGTTTGTTTTTGCCTAGATGACTTTACAAATTTTATTCTACTATACTATATTTAGCTGCTATTATTTAAGACACGCCCACGTGACCGCACGTTTCAAATAAAACACAATTTCAGTGTGTGACGTTTAATTATGAAAGATTTTAAGAAATAATATTTTAACAAGTTAAAAGATATATATTATTATTAGCACAAACACAAAGTATGCAAAAGATAAAGAAATATTGAAAAGAAAATTAACAATATATACTAATAAAAAATTCAAACAGCCACAAATAAATTACGTAAATAATAAAGTTAAATATTTAAAACAAGAGAGTAAAGAGACTTAAAGATGAGATGAACGAAATAATTGTTGAAATTTCTTTTTTTTTTTATGGTATTAGAGGTTTTTTTCAATAGGTGCATTAACCCAATAAAAGTAAATTAAACTCAAGGTTTTTAAATTGTTATAGAAATGAGGATATTAGAAATACATACATAAGTGCATGCAAGGGCAAATAACGGCTGGCTTTTTTGGTTATTGCAAAGCTTTTAAAATTAAACGAAACGAAACGATTGTGAGTAATATTAATTAATTTACAAATAAATAAATATACCGGCATTTCCCTACGAAATAAACGTATTTCTTTCTTACTTTTAATTACTACTTGTCAACTAATTTTATGAATGAAAATATTTACTTTAGCTAAATTTCGAGTATACAATCAAATTGACGTAGTTTAGTGCAATAACAAGAAGCACTTGAAAAATCTCAATTGAACAAATCGAGCAGTAGGCCTAATCAAGCAGCACAATATGGGCTTGGCCGATTATGAATTTTTATCGCTTTCTTTGTTGTCAGTTTTGTAAATTCTTTTATTATTTTTTTTTTTCAATTTGATAGATGATAAATAAATATATAGAGAATATATTTGTATAGCGTTGATATATTTATATTTGTTCAAATATTTACAAAGCAAAAATTCGTCATAAAATTTGTTAGTTAATATCAAAAAATTTTTCTTTGAAAAGGCTAATTACAACAAAATATCAAATTACATTATTTAATTATAAAACTTAATTACAACTCATAAAAAAATATCAGAAAATCTGTTTATTATGTTTATTTAAACAAAATTTTTATTTAAACAATTCATTAGTCGATTAATCGTTAGATTTCGTTAATTGAAAACACTAGATTTTGTTTAGCGCAAAATTAGTATTGTTCACACAATGTATTATCAGTAGATAAAAAATGTTGTCAACATTTGTTTATTTATAGTTTAAAAAGAAAACCAATGAGCTTTTAAAAACAGCTAAGAATAATGTTAAACAAGTGCCAAACAATAGTATTATTTAAATACTAAATTTACACAAAATTTTCATACAATGTTTAAAAAGAGAAATATTGCAAAATGTATTTAACAAACAAGAAAAAATTGTACAATTGTTTAATGAAGTTTACCAGAAAATGAAATGAATTAGTTTGATAATTTTAAAGTATAAAAATTCTAGATCCTTAAAAATAGCTGAGGCACGTATCTATTAAAATTAATTTTATGAAGATCCCAGAAATCTTCAGGATCCAACACTTGAATAATTCTATCAGATATACTTTCAAGAAGTTTGCTATTGAAAATTATGAATATCAGTTCCTCAGTAACGGAGATATGAGCCAAATTCCGAAACAAAATATTGTCAAAAATTTGAAACACAATGAAAACAACATGCAGTTTTATTGTCATATGTTTTTCTGAAAACCGTTCTGAAAGCAATTCTTTCACCATTGAATTAACCATTTTTGGGAATATTTTAGTGTACTTTTTGAGAAAAGTTTTAGAACTGGTCTGATTTTTCGTTTGAAATTGTCGAGATTGGAATTCTAAAGTATTGGTTTCTAAATCACAACAATGTTTAAGAGAAGACATCTCTTATTCTAAGGATGCTATTTAAGAATCTGAATTGTTTCTTTTTTGTACTAGTTCTAGAATTATTTATTGATGTATAAACTATAAAATCTTTTCTTCTCTTAATCTTAACTCTTTAAAACTATTTATGTAGTTTTCAATGTCAAGTTTTTTTCTCAATGTTAAAGAGGAATTCTAATATAGATTATTTAAAATTAAACTTGAAATTTTATCATAAATTTTGCAAATTTTTCATAAACATCTGCGTGACGTTCAAAATACATATGTATTTTTTTTCTTTTTTCAACTTTTGTTAATATAAATGATCTTAGTTGTTAGTACTAGTTATTAGCATTAAATAAATAGAAACATTTGACAAATAATTATATCATAACAATGTATTTTCCTCACACGTTAATTTATTAAAAAGGTGTAAATTATAGCACAATTATTTACACATATTTTCTGGCAATTTATTTTAAATAAACATTGCTGATCATTTAAATACTGCTAGAATAAGAAGGATTAATTTCAGCTTAAAAAATATTAAAAAATTGAGTGATTGGTACAATTTGTAGCGATTTCTGAAAGAGTTTTTATATGAAAATAACTCGCCCACTTTTCCTATCAATAGAAATTGTGCTTTATTTAGATTTGGCCTTTTGTTTCATGAGCTTTGCATATAACGAATTTTATCATTGATTAACTGGAAAAGTAGATTTTATGTCATTTTATGATAGATAATGTTTTTTTAGTAATAAAAGTATCAGTTATTTGGGTTATTTATGAAAGCGGTAGTGTATCTAATATTCAATACAATTTTACGGCTTGTATACAACAGATACTATATAGGATAGCCATTACGCTATATGATAAGGGAAAGAAACAAATTAACATTTATGTGTTCCGTAAAACCACCGTGACAAAATCACAAATAGAAATGTTGTGAGAATTTTAATAAATTTTCATTAAATGTTTTAAATATGGCATTAATCACAATCGAAATCTTATAGTTTGACAATTTCCAAAGACCTTCACAAAATTTTAACACAATTCTTCCATTCGAAAGCTTGCCACACTTTTAAAATCCATAAAAAATCATCGCGCGATTTAAAGAATGCCATAAAAACCGTTTTAGAATTTTGGTTGCAAATAATATGACATTTCTTATCATTTTCTAAAGATTAAATTCCAGTTTAGCATGCTTAATTTAAAATCACCTTATGGTGATTAAAAAATAACAACAAAGAAAAACAAATTAATTTGTTGTCCCCTCCTCTTAATCGTTCATAACAATTAAGAAATAATGCTGGCTTTTAAAAACAAATTAATTCATGAGATGCTTCTTTTTCTATTTCTATTAGATAATTTCTGTTTAGTTGAAAATATATCTGTTTGGCAAAGAGAGAACTAAATTTTCAATTTGTTGGTGTTTTTTTTTTTCGTATTTGTTAATAAAAGTTAAGTAGAAAAAAAGCCGGTTCGAAGAATAATGACATGAACAGAGATTTAAAAGAATTATAAGATTCTATTTTCAAATAGAAAGAACCAGTTCTTTCAGCAATGATTTCTGTTTAAAATTATCAGCTTTGCAATTTAGAAACATAAAATGCACTCGTTTTAAAATTTCTTATTTTAGAATAAATATTAAATTACTCTCTGCTATATTTTTAAACCATTTTTAAACTCAACAAATAACATGTTCTACTTGAAAAATATGCATATTTGATATTAAATATGAGGAAATCTAAATTCAATAGACATTTAATAAAACTTAAAGCAAATTGTTTAATAAATTAATTCAAATCAAATAAAAGCACAAACGTTTTAGTGTTACATATATAGCGTTCCCCTATTATTCCCCCTTTAGACATACGTGCGGTGTTAGTTTTTATTTTATTTAAATGTGTGGTTGTTTAAGAATCTGTGTCTATTTATTTTATATGTATGTAGAAAGGTACAAAGATCAAATTATATACTTTTTATTTTACATTTTAAACATAAACAGAGGGACACTATAGTTGGCAAAATAAACTATATAATTATTATTACTTTTTTATAAATTGAATATTACTTTATGTTAGAATTAGTTTAAACATAAAAGTCGCTCTTTAAATTTTAACATTTTTCCTTGTATACTTTTTTGAAAATTTTAAAATTCGAATTCAGTAGATCTCTAATTTTTCATAATTTTAAATACTCTTGCATTATATAAATTGTTTCTTTTGTCCAAAAATCAAAATCCAATGTTCGAATTGTCGTCATTAAAAATAAATCTTATATAATTGGAAAGAGAAAATAATGGAAAAAAAATAAAGGAAGAAGCTGAACTTTAAAAAAAGACTTTTGAAAAAAGATAAGAAAGCTGAAAAAGAAAATAAAAGACTTTTTAAAAAAATATCAACGATATTTAACTTGAGCCAACCAAAAGCGAAAAGGAACGAGCTCGAAATGCGACAACTATCTACTATCTATCTATCTATCTATCTATCTATCTATCTATCTATCTATCTATCTATCTATCTATCTATCTATCTATCTATCTATCTATCTATCTATCTATCTATCTATCTATCTATCTATCTATCTATCTATCTATCTATCTATCTATCTATCTAACTATCTATCTATCTATCTATCTATCTATCTATCTATCTATCTATCTATCTATCTATCTATCTATCTATCTATCTATCTATCTATCTATCTATCTAACTATCTATCTATCTATCTATCTATCTATCTATCTATCTATCTATCTATCTATCTATCTATCTATCTATCTATCTATCTATCTATCTATCTATCTAACTATCTATCTATCTATCTATCTATCTATCTATCTATCTATCTATCTATCTATCTATCTATCTATCTATCTATCTATCTATCTATCTATCTATCTATCTATCTATCTATCTATCTATCTATCTAGTACACAGCCCGTATCGATTGTAGAGTGATCTTGTAATTTTATTGCTGTGTTGTTCCCCGTCTTCGCTTTTGTTTCCCTAAAAAGGCACGAAACTGTGTGTAGTAGTGGCATGTGTGTGTATTATTTCAATGTTGTTTTTGCATACGTATTAATAAATTTAATAACAACACAAATTGATAGATGTCATGTACTTGTGATTGTTGTTGTTCTTATTATCTCTCCTTATAAATATGCAAGTACTTAACGATACATACAAACAAAGTACACAGAACTATAAATTGTAACAAACTTTTGTTATGGTTATAAACAAGTAAAAGAAAACAACGGATTTTAAAAACATTTTTTATAAAAATGTCAAAATTTTTATAAAATATTCAAAAATATAAAGTAAGCTCTATTGCAAATGACGCAAACAAATGCAACTCTGCTAAAAACAATAACAATTGTTATTGTTAACTTAAAAATTACATTCTTATCACTGAGCCGTCACCCTCTACCTCACCCCCTTTTGGGTTTCATTAAAATATAGCGAAGACAACAAAATAAATGCACTTAGCATATAAATAATACCGGTTAATTTGTACATATTTAATTTAATTGAATGCATTTAGTTACTTAATAGAATAAACCATAGCAAAATAAAAAATTCATTAAAAAAGAAAATCTTTTGTCACAACTAAAAACCCAGTAGTAGTAGTATGAGTTACATAACCACTTAATATCAAACTGTATGTACACAGTTCTGCTGTTGTTTTTAGACATTTAACGTCATTAATTTTTCCCATTCTAATTTCGGATTTTTTTGGAACAAATTTCCTTTAGCTGGTGACCTAATAACTAATTTACTTTTGTAAAAAATAAAGAAAACACTCACCAGATTGAATACATTGTACTGCTTCCTCGGGTGTTACATTTGGCGGTTTACGATTCAAGGGATGTGAGATTTCATTGGCATAAGTGAAGTAGTTATTGAGGCCAGCGACCATGGGTTGTCTTCCGCCGCCAACGACAACACGTCTTAGATTTTTAGCCAACATAGATGCCATGCTTAAACTGCTCTAAATATTTATTATAGATTTTTTTCGTATATAAAATTGAAATATTTTAATTAATTTTTTTATGCATGAAAACTTTAGGTTTTGCTAGTTTGTACTTTTGTCAAATTAGTAATTTATTTTTTATTGGTTTAGCAAAATTGTTTTTGGTTTTTTATTATTGCCTTCATTTATTACTAACCGTTTTAGTTAACGCAAATTATTTTCTTTTGTTTAGCACACTCCTCCTTTCAAAAGTTAAATTTGGACTGATTTGTTTAACTCAAAACGTAATTATTAATTTTTTTATAAATTTGCGTCTGGAGCAGAGCCCTGCGCCGACAAATATTAACGGCGGCGGCGACTGACACTAAATATGTCGGCGGCATCTTAAAATCGACTGTAAGCCGGCTAAGTTTTCAACTACGTTTAGTTTTTAATTTTTCAACGATTTTAAATAAAAACGGAATCCGATAGATCAGAAAGTAGGATTTTGGAAGCAAATATATTGTTTATAACAACAAAACAGAGCAAACTCAAAAGTTGCATGAGAAATTATGCAGGGATGAATAAAAAATTCTTAAAAATTAAAAACAAATCCTTTCTCCAAGTTTTACTAGGATCTGCCGATATTTAATCCTATCTTCCATATAAAACATCTTGCAGAAAATCAGTTTCTAAAAAATTTTGCATTAAGAAAATGATCAATAACGTAAAAACAAAGATATTTTATTTGTTTTTTTACTAGCTATACCCAGTGTGCTGTGCTACCCTAAAAGCAATATAAATAAGAAACCTACTTAACAATTTTGATGATTCTAACTACAATGGTTTTCCAGATATACAATTTGTTACATATGGGAGATTCCACGCAAATTATTGCAATTTCGCCAATTATTCCGAACGTTAATTAAGATTTTAATTTAATCTATGAAAAATTTGAATAATCTAATAGTTTCCAGATATACAAAATTTTGTATTTAATTCATATGGGAAGTGCCAAGCCCCCCATTGAAAGTCCGCCCGTTATTCTCTAAATGTTCTTCAGTAAAATTTGAAGATTCTAGCTCTAATAGTTTCTCAGATATACGAATTTTTCTATTTAATTCATATGGGAGCTCCAAGCCCCCCAGATGAAAGTCCGCCCTTTTTTCCCCAAAATGTTCAGATAAATATTAAAGTTGTTCGTGCAAAATTTGAAGAATTTAGTTATATTAGTTTCCCAGATAAACGAATTTTTGTATTTAATTCATATGGGAGGTTCCGCTCCCCTCATTGGTAGTTCCCCAGTTTATTACCCAAAATGTTTACATGGATGTTAAAGTTCTTCCAGAACAACATCATTTAAAGGGATCACAAAGAGATTGAAAAATATTCCAAAAGTTTCACTTTGAAAACATTATTAGAATGTATGAAAACTCGCTACTCTAAAGGAAGACTATTCCTATTTTAGTAGTATTTTATGATTAAAATAAGTAAAATGTGGAATTGGATCAATAATATATATAATTTAAAGTATTTTTTTTTTTAATTCTACCATAATTCTATCATAATGATAACTTTTGGAATGATGTATTAGCTATAA